CCCCAAAACCCCAAAACCCCAAAACCCCAAAACCCCTAAATAGGTATGATAGATAGAGCAGATAAATTAATTTTTAAATAAGAAACCGATATGGTGAGATTCCTGTTACAATATTTAGCACAAAGTAGACCAATATACTCAAGCATTAAGTTTATCCCGGAACAGTTGCCTTTCAACTCTCGCGAACCAGAGTACAAGGAACACTCAGGATGACCCGTACAATGTGATCCTTCCTGATTTTTCTATATCTATCAGTCAGAAGGAGTCAAAAGAGTTAAATGTAGCTCAAAAATATGGATCGCCTCTAAAAGGTACTTTCGAGAAAGTCATTTTGCGTATAGAGGAAGCATTAGTTGCCTTTACTCCTGAGAAATGCTACAAAGGGTATCCTTACGCTAAGGAGATGACAGACAAAGACTACAACATTCTTAACTATGTAACTCCAAAACCATTACATTCTGGAAGCCTGAGTAAAGCTTTCCCGACTCAGGACATGAATAAGTTCAGGTTCAGAAACTGAAGGCTTCGCCGGCTTGCAGGTGTTGATCATGGAGAAACAAGAATAGTCAAGAAGCAAAGAACATTGCATAACCGCACAATGGCTAGCATGTAAGCCAAATGGCTTATATTTAATATAGGGTTAAGAGCATAAAATTGCTGCAAAGAGGTAACTTCTGATCCAATATCTGCTGAATTTCAAACAGGTTGCTCATGCGTTTTAATTTAGGTTCAACAGCCAGTGCAAAGAAGAGACGATTTAAAATGGAGTTCGTTTCAGTTTTAAACCCTCATAGGCTCAGAGATCATGACAAACCCCAGAAAGTCCTCCCGGTTTGCCGTAAAGGTAAGCCCATCTTGAATAATTAAGACAGCTGTTAAGCTTAAAAGGAAGAAGAAAATTAAGAAATTGTTAGATTCTCCCAAGTTGTGAGTTGTTTTGAATTATTAACCAAACTTAGAGTTGCTAAACTCTTTAGGTTTCAAAGTCAGAAAGCCTCATTTTACACTAAACCAATGTTTGCTACCCAGCAGCACTGGAGGGGAGTATCAAAGCGGCAAGGCTCTTTGCAGAAGAAGGACGCTAAGCCATACCCGTGTTGAGGCAGAACAACAATTTACTTCAAAAAGCCTAAGTAAGCCGATTTTAAAATTAATTATAGAATTTCTTTTATTAAAAGCTCAGAAGGACTGGAATAGTCGAAAATAAGTTATAAAATCATCTTTTCAATTAAAATAAACTCTAGAGGGGTTTTGGGGTTTTGGGGTTTTGGGGTTTTGGGGTTTTGGGG